AAATTAATAAAGTTAAATATATTAGATAAAAAATAAAAAAATAAAAAAAAAAAATTACTCAAACTAAAGCCAAACAAAGTAGTGTGTAAAAACAAATGACAATCTCACAATACAAAAAAAAAAAAAAGCATCCTACAACCTGAATTGAAATTAGACTGGAAGATAATGTAAAAAAAATAAAAAAATAAAAAAATAAATAATAATAATAATAATAATAACTAATTTATAAGACTAAAATAAAAATTAAAACTAAAGGCTAATAACATTATAATGTATAAATATTAAATAAAAAATAAATTCAAAATATAAAAACAGAAGCAAATTCAAAATACTAAAATATAATAATTTTATAAGTGCTAAATTAAACTCAAAATATAAAAGCTCATTCAAAATATTAATAAATAGTATATAAACAGACTCGGAAAAAAAACACACAAGCTAACTCAAAATATTTATATATAGTATAATAGTATACAAATAATACTAAATTAACACTTTAGAAAACCACTGGTAGCAAAACAAACACCAAGTTACATGCTTTGGTATGTGTGGCATAGGTGGGTTGTCAACCTTAGACACACGTTGCAACCAGTCACATGCAAGTGATACATGAGAAAGATGCATTTTATTCAGTAGTATATTTTAAAAAATTAATTCCAAATTTCTTCAATGAATGCAAACTACCACTTGATGCAACCTATTTTATTTAGTAATAGGCTGGATGGAAGCCAAACACTCCAACTGAACTCTGCTGCATGTATGAACCAACTGGACAAGAAAACTGTTTATCCAGTGGGTCAAACACAGTCACTTCTGTACACACTGGTATGAATCTACATAGAAATATTACCTCGAGCAATGCTTAAAACAAAAACCTCTGCAGAATAAATGTGTCATCTTGGGAAGTATATGAGATAATGAATTCAACAATGTACCTGATGCATGCTAGAAAACAGAATCCAACACACAATGAGAAAGTATTTTGCTGACCACATGAAGTATAAATAACACAAGGAAAAAACTACTTACGGTGAGATTGTGATCTTTGTGTCAGTATCTTGTTCGATTTTCTTCAAGTTGCGTCCCTCTTTTCCAATCAGGCGGCCGACGAAGTTATTATGAGCCAGAATCTTCAGAGGGATTTCTTCAGTGCTATGTAAGTGAGAGAAGAGAGAAGGTTATAGTGTGACTGAGCGTGTAAATGGCTCTTTAGCAGTGTAGTGCGGTATGACTAATGAAGACAGATCTACAGAAACAGTATAACGCAGAGTGTTTGTGTATCAACGCACATCTTAGTGTCGATTGCCTCTTTCTGCATGATCTCCATGATATTTTGACAGGCAGAACTGCAGCCCTCTGGTGTGGAGTGAACAGTGATGGGCTTCTCCGCTGCCCCTGCGTTCTCCTTACGATGGATATCAATCCTGTGCACATATACAATATGTAATCAACTTGTTCGAGCAGTATGACCAAGTCTATGTTCCCTTCCCAGATGCCAATAGACGTTAACACAAAAGGCAGTACGTGTGATATACACAGACACTACCGTTCAAAAGTTTGGGGTCGGTATGATTTTTTTTGCCATCAAAGGAATAAATTGCATTTTAAAATATATTAAAATATAAAACGGGTATATAAAATCATAACTTCACAATATTAGTTGTTTTATTTTGTTAAAATAAAAGCATCCTTTATCAGCATAAGAGATGGAAAACAAACAGTGTATATTATTTTTGTTTTGTTTGTTTACCAGTTTAAAAGGTGCCCATAAAATACTTGTTCTAGCGTCGATTTAGAAAGTGATTCATATTTTTATTTTTCAATTAATAGCAAGTCAACAGATATAGATATTTTTTTTAATTAAAAGCAAGTAAACGGACAAAATTGGCCATTTTTCTTAGCTGCAATTCAAAAATTGATAATTAATATAAACTTGATCATAGTGAAATCTTCTTTAAGAATAATTAGGACAATCTTACCTACCCGGACTGAAATCTGACTTCAACATGGTTGCCTGTCACTGCATGATTAACTTTCAACAAACCTTACATTATTTTTTAAGCAGAGTGTTTAGTTCACTTATTAGTTACATTTGTTGCTTCATTAACTCCTATATCACAAAAGATCTTGATAAACAGGTTTATAGAGCATTTTCAACATGCAAAAATAAATTTAGTGCTGATACTTTGCTTGTAGAGCCTTATGTGCTCAGTGTGAATGTTGTAACATCTTAATATGGGTGCCAAAAAAAATATGCGGTGCTTACGTGCGCAGTGTGAAACAGGACTGTTTACAGCTACGTACACTGAGCATTCTTACTTTGAGTGAGTCTGCTTGGTTATGTTGCGGATGGTAGCACCTTCCTTGCCAATAATAGCTCCTACAAACTGGGTGGGCACCAACATGCGTAGAGGTACGTCTGACTGTAGTTTAGGTCTTGCGCCAAGATTGGGAGAGCCTTGGCGAGGTGGGCCGCGTGGGTTGAAACCTCTCCTGCCACCCACGGCAGGGGCATCTGCTGCAGCGGTCTCATCTGGGATATAGGAAACCTTTAGTGCGTAGTTCTCCATAAGGAAGCCATTTAATTTATCCAATGCTCTGGGAAAAAACAGCAACAGAAGGATGGGAAACATTAACAAATTTTTCATTCAACTCATTTTTAATCATGATGCTTTGGAAAGCTACATTTGAGTTAAAGGACAAAAGCCATAATACAACCCCTGGCAAAAAATTCGGGAATCACCACACTTAGATGTTCACCCAAAGTTTTGACTTTATAACAAATAAACAAATCACATATGACAAAACAATTTTTGCTTAATAATTCAACACTTTGTGAAACATACCTCAAACAAAAAAAATTAAAATAAAAAATGAAATCATTCAATGTTGAGGAAAAAAATATGGAATCAGCTTGTAATATGCATTTCTAAAATAAATACCGGCACATATCTAAAATGCTAATTAGTCAGCAGTTAAAAAAGTGCTTCCAGACCTTAACGAGCTGTTGGACTTGGCTAATTGAAAGGAAAAATGGCCCCAACAAGAAAGCTGTCTGTTGAAACAATGGAAAGGATTATAAAACTCCTTCAAGAAGAAAATCCATCACGGAGTGTGGCAAAAGAAGTTGGATGTTCCCAGTCAGCCATTTCTAAAATTTGGTGCAAGTATAAACAAAATGGAAAGGTTACAAAAGGAAAACATACAGGCAGACCAAGGAAAACCTCAAAGCGTCAGGATAGAAAACTCAAAGCGATTTGCCTTGAAAATAGAAAATGCACAACGAAACAAATGAAACACAAATGGGCGGAAACAGGAGTCAATGTGTGTGACAGAACTGTAAGAAACCGGCTGAATGAAATGAGATTTATATATAGAAAAGCCAAACGAAAACCGGCATGAACACCTAAACAGAAGAAAACAAGGTTACAGTGGGCTAAAGAGAAGCAGTCATGGAGTGTGGATGAAAGTGATATTCAGTGATGAATCTGCACTGGACAAGGAGATGATGCTGGAACTTTTGTCTGGTGCCGTTCTAATGAAATGTATAAAGAAGAAAACAACTGCCTGAAGAAAACCAAATTTCCCAACTCATTTATGATATGGGGTTGCATGTCAGGTAAAGGGCCAGGGGAAATGGCAATGTTTACCTCAACAGTCAATGCACAAGTGTACATTGAAATTTTGGACACTTTTCTCATTCCATCAACAGAAAAGAATTTTGGTGATAATGATGTCATTTTTCAGGATGACAATGCATCTTTCCACAGAGCAAAGAGTGTTAAAGCTTTTCTTCAGGAAAGGCATATCAACTCAATGACATGGCCAGCAAACAGACCGGATCTCAATCCGATTGAAAATTTATGGTGGAAATTGAAAAAACTGGCCCATGACAAGGCTCCATCTTGCAAAGCTGATCTGTCAACCGCTAGTCGACAAAGTTGGAACCAGCTTGTGAAGTCCATGCCCCAAAGAATTCAGGCCATCATAAAAGCAAGAGGAGCAACAAAGTACTAACTGTGTGTTTTGGTAGATGATTCCACAATTTTTTCCTCAACATTGAATGATTCCACATTTTTTCCTCTACTTGATATGGAAAATACATTTTCATTAAAAGTTTAATATCTTTTTTTTTTTTTAAGGTATGTTTCACATAACCAGAATGTTGAATTATTAAACAAAAATTGTTGTGATATCGGTGATTTGTTTATTTATTAACTACAAAATTTGGGTAAACAACATCTAAGTGTGGTGACTCCATAATTTTTGCCAGGGGTTGCACATCCTACTTGGTTTTTAAATTTTTTTTTTTATGTATGGAATATTATGCTTAGTTGAATTAAAAATTTTAAAAAAGCCTCTTGCTGCTTTGGACCACATTATAGTACACCTATAAAAACTGTTGAAAATAAAAATGGGCCTCATTTATGAATACATTTCTAGATTTCGGTAAATATTCATAACTCCAATCTTGCATAAATGTTCACAGTTCAATGCAAGTTTATGGAAGAATTGTTGTATTACTATATTACGTTTTTTTTTTTTTACTGTATTTTGTTCAAAACAATGCTGTCTTTGTAAGCGCAAGTTACTTAAAAAATATATATTTTCAGTTAATATTAAAAATTTAATTATTGGATAATGTCACAATTCAGTGCAACAGTTTGTGCAAGAATTGTGTTCTGATCATGAATAAAACCAAAATATTGCAAAGATTTAAAGGCATAGGTCCCCAGAAACTAAGTGTGAATTCTAAAATCTATTTTTCATCAATATTGTCCATTTTTGGGCAATAGTCTAGGTGACTGAGACAAAGGGCATGAAAACCATCTCTGCTTTTCTGCTTCCCTATCAAACAGGACACATGTAAAACTTAAGCGAAACTGATGGGGGGTTTAAGAGCATGAGGCTTAGACGTGATGGAATGCCGAAGCCTTTTAAAGCCACCGAATCTTTCATTGACATCCACTAGTGGATGGTAACAGAAACTCCCTATTGTGCACAAACAATTGCTGAAGATTCTTTTATCTGAGCCTTTCCATTCATTTTCCAGACTTCTTCACCATCCCCTGTGACTGCGCTGCAGTTCTACTAATCAAACAGTAGGTGGCACTGAATGAGTTGTTATAATTGCTTAATAAAACCAAATAGCAGTGTATGTGGAACCGACGGTCTCACATTTCACTGCGAGACGTGGGACAGAGACGCTCTGGAGGGGGTGGAGTGGTGACCGAGCCGGCCGAATTGGAGGCGGATGATACTCACTCTCTGGCTTGGTCCTTGGCGGAATATCGCACGTTGACAACAGCAGTCTCTGTGTCAGTGTTGACTGAGGATGGAAAAGAACGAAGGAAGATGGAGGAGGAGAGATTAACTAATCTTTTAATATATGGATTACTACTTAAGTGACAATCTGCTGAAGAGCACATCCTACCTTGTTCACAGCTCTCCACTGTGCCGTACTGCACTAACAACCCGTCCAAAACCTGTAGGTGAAGTCAAGCAAGAGAAACTTTCAGACTGTGATCAAGACTAATAATGTGTAAGCGACTAGACATTGTGGTTGAGGTTGTATAACTTTAAAAAAAATGAGCAGATACAACAGTCATGCTGTCAAAAATGTTGAACAGTTAAGTGTTAAAGGGATAGTTCACCCAAAAATCCTTTACCCTAATGTTGTTTCAAACTAGTATGACTGACTGACTTCTGTGGAAGCATTTTTTTTTTTATGTCCATGTAAAGAAAATCAGTTGGCGTTTTCAAAATGTTAGTTTTTGCATTGCGCGGAAGAAAGCCATACCAATTTGGAACCGATGAGGGAGAGTAAATGACAAAAATATTAATTTTTGGTCACTCCAAAATTGCGATGAAACGCAAGTAGCGACATATTTCATGGGCTTCATTAATGGAATGTAAATATTCAGAATTCCATTCTTGCATAATTTGTCACAATTCTATGCAACAGTTTATACAAGAATTGATTTTTGAACATTATTTCATGCCTAATGATTTAAAAGCACAGGTCGTGAGAAACTAAGCGTGAATTCCAAAAACTATATTTCTCTTCAGTATTGTTCATTTTTTTTGGGCAATAGCAAGGCAACTCAGATGGTGAAAATTTGTGATGCACATCTGAGTGTAACAGATTACCGAAAAATCAGTTGTCGACTGGATTGAGGTGTAGGTGTTGCACTCAAATAAACGTAGATGGACGTGATCTTGCAGGGGCAGGACTTATGTTTGGACAAGTCCTAAATATCTCAGAAGAGTGTCAATTTTTTTTTAATGAAAAATATGGACAAATTAACTTTACAATAATGATTTTAGAAAATAAATTTATTTTCATGCCAACTTTAAACAGTTTACCTCTTGCCGATTTGGAACTTAACCAAATATTTAAAATCAATTGCAAACTAAGCTTTTGTGGAATTGCTTTCTCTTCTTTTTTTTTTTTTTAAAACATTATATAGCCTCTCCAAATAAATAAATAATTCAAAAAAGCACAGTTTTACACCTCATTCACTGCAGCTCTTTGTTTCTGCCACTCCTGCTCTGGAGGAGGTGTGCAAGCGAACATTGAACATGGGTATAAGGAAGCCTACAGGCTTTTACACACACCAGCCCCCTATACGTCACACATACTAATGCCCACAACCCCCCTTACCGCCACCACTTCCCTTCTCCATTCCAAGCCGTCCTATTGGTTGGCGTGTGCATTACTATGGAATTCCCAGCAGCCATTGGGCATTTCCAGCCATTGGCTACGTAACCAGTCAATCATTAAGTCCAGGCCAATAAGACAAGGCTTCCTTCAATCCGGTGAAAGAGGAAGGGGGTGTGGTTGGCTTTCAGACACCATGCAGTGAGAAGGGGGGAGGAAGTGGGGTTGATCTACACATTCTGGGTGTCCACACATGGAACAGGCCTGCAGCCAGGCGGGGCAGCAGGTTAAAATCCAGCCTGACTAAGCTCGCCTGAGCGTGGTCACACAGCAAAACGCACACATCCCCAACGCTACACCATCACAGATAACACACACACTTCAAGATCTCAACATGTGCCCACAGTAACAAGACGACAATACAAACACAAATATCTTCTATTTGAACACAACTGGCAGGTCAAACTCAAAGAAAAATAAAGGGAGAGATTAAAAAATCTCGCTCAAGTAGGTACTTGACATTTTCGCAGGCTGACATCATGTGACTGCAGACTCATTTTGGGCTGAAATAAAAGGAAAATTGTGCTATAAATTTTGTATGTTTATTTGTAAATCCAAACAATTACACACGGTCCATTTTTTTAGGTTAACATTTGGTTCATGCCAAGTTGATACATCGTACATCTAAACACAAATTCAATACATTCAACTAAAACTCTTGTGATATTTAGCATAAATTTAGTAGTGCATGTTTAAATAGTTTAACTGAATTTGCACCTAAAAACAGTACCAAATCAACATGTTAGAATGATTTCTTTGACACTGAAGACTGGAGGAATGGCAGCTGAAAATTCATTTTGCCACCCCAGGTATAAATTACATTACATATACTAAAATGGGAAATCATTACAATTTAATAACTTTTTTCCTAAAGTATTATAGGTTGTCACTATATTTTGTTCAAATAAAAAGCAGCCAAAAAAAAAATAAAAAAAATCACACAAGTTTATAAACCGTAATATGTGCTAAAATAATGTTTGTTTTTTTCCATATCTAGCTTTTGCTTTAACAAACAGACTACAGCTGAAAATAAATCAAATGAAAAGTGAGCCTTTATGACCTTGAAAAAAAAAAATTTCATCTACTAAACTGGAAGGTTAAATCACCACAGGTTCCCTCTGGAATTTCCCATGGCTTTTTAGCATCGCAGTTTCAGAAGGCTTTAAAAGACTCACGTTTTGTTCTATAACAGTCATATCAAAGCACGTAAACTCACACCCTTGCGGTACAAGCAGCAACTTCATAACTTGCATTTAAAAAAAAAATGGTTGCATCAAAATGCATGTTTGGAGGTATGACTATTTAATTTTGGATGAAGGACAAAACGTGAAGGTCTCTACAAGTCTTAAACTTGGAAATTCCCAAAGGAACACATGGCTCAAATAATAATTCTCTTCCGGGTTTATGGACTACAAACATCTATATTCTATTGCTGCATAATACTAGTCGGAGTACTAAACTACAACAGAGCTCATCGCCACAGGACAAAACCTGAGTAGTCATGATTCATCAGACGGATCATAAATACTTCAGCAGAATTCAGCTGCAGATAACATGCACAGCCGTATAGTATGCCAGAATGATGCATACATTTACAGAAGTTTCATTTTGTTATTTTATATACACATTCAATATTAAAGGTAATATTTACAGTGCTAGCAAAGTAATATTCCTCTTTTTCCAGTCTTCTCCACAAATTTCTCAAATTCAATGCTTAAAACGTACAGAATCCATTCAAATTTTAACTGACACTTGTCATTAATGTAGTAGATCCATATGAACTATTGATTTGATCATTCTTATCCATTTACACACTAAGCTGTGCAAATTGATAAATGTTGTTGTATGTGGGAAGGACCAATCTGTGGACCTACTGTCTGGTCAGAGATGTATTTAACTTTTTTGTATTGATTATTGTATTGGAAAAAAAACAAACAAAAAAACACCTTCCTTTTAAAAAATCCCTCTGGAAAACAAAAATAAAAACTAAACAGGTTTATGGTCATTTCATAAAACAGATTTTTCTCAGATTGAGTCAAACCTAAATAAGGTTATTAAACCCATATCTACTGCTACACACCAAGGCAACACAGAAGGCATGTGGCCATTAACAGGACATTTTCTTACACTTTAAAAACAGCTAGAGTAAGTGCAAAGAAATTAAACTAAATTCAGGGGTCATTAGACACACTTAAAGGTTGAACTTTTTTGAACTTCACATGGTATTAATGCAATATACTTGGGGGTTATTCTTGCTGATGCAACCACATACAACAACAGAAAAAAAGTCATTTTTAAATGTCAAATAAAATAGAGAACATGTTCATGTGTTACAGGTATAAAGTATTGTCCTCTACGTTATATTAACCCTATAAAGCTTATTGCATCAGATTTGATGCGCAAGTTTCTGAGGCCTCTAAATTATCAACATGATCAATTTTGATAAACCTGTTGTACACAATCTACTACATGCGTTCTGTCGTCTGATTGATAGAATTATAATAAAAGGCCTTTCACTTAAAGTACTCATGTCCTGATACACACGTGTTTTTGCTGTGAATTCTTCTACTGGCTTTTAAAGTAAACATAATAAAAAACATTGTTAGTAATATTTTAGGATGAACACTTACTGGGCTGAAGCAGCTTAGACTGAATTATCCATAATATTAGGGGATTTTTTTTTTTTTTTTTAAATGTATCAATTATACATCAGTTTTTGAGCCTGAACGTTTATTTGTACATAACTCAATCAACATTGTATTGCACTGCTTATGTTTGCCCTTCCACAAAAACTACAGAGCTTTGATCATAAAACTAAGCATTTAAATATTATCTTAACACATTATTGGGAGATGTAACTGCTATTTATATGAAACTCATGCAAGTAGTTTCCTATACGGTTATAAAGACTTCACTGATTTACATTACAAGCTATCAGAATCTTACTTTTTGGCCATATAAATATCAGCAACTGCACCAAATTACATATTTTTGCAGTTTTGGGCCTGTTAATAAAATTAAGGAACCATATTATGAACCATAAAAGCTTCATGTATCAAATTTAACACTCAAAAAACAAACAAAACAAAAAAAACACCTTTTTTGTGTGTAAAGTTTCAATAAACCGCTCAATAAAAAAAATAAAAATAAAATAAAAAAAAACACTATTATATGTCAGCTTTAACGGAGTTAACAAACATAATACATCATATTGACTAGGAACACTTTGCTCAGCATGATCAATACATTGATATAGCCTTTAAATTAGTCTCAACATTTCATATATAGTAGCTTTGGTTTACTGTGATGGCAAACAATCCCATTTGACTTTTACTCATTTTACCTGTAATAAAATACGCAATAAAGACGACTGCTGCAAACACACACACACAGAGCCCAAAATGAACAAATGTGAGGTAAGGGGGAGCACATTTAAGTGAGTAAATAAGGAGTTTGCAGCTCAACTGTATTAAAAAACCCCAAATTATAAATATGTTCTGAACTTCACTAAAATATAAATGAACCAAATAATACAAAGACATAAAACAAGCAATTTATGTTCTTAGTAGACAGTTTAACAACTTTTGCCTCAGTGGAAAATTGACCAGCACAAGTTTATCTAGGATGCCCATTTCCCTCCCTGGAACGTGACATGTGGAATATTCCTCACATACAGCCACAAAACCAGAAACGAGGCACAAAACAACACTGGGTCTTCACATTTTTAATGACAGGTGCCATTTCACATGGATGTAGCCCGAATTATTTCACATATGATGCTGTGACTCTGACCGGCTTTGTATGTTACCAACTTGCAAGGGATAACCTCAATGCCGTAAGATTAAAAAAATACAGTTTTAATAAATAGAAGTGGAAAAAATATGGTTAAGGTTAGTAAGAAATAATTACCTGCAATATTTCCAAATTATATTATTGTTTAAAAAAATTTTTTACTGAATTGTTGGCATCCACGGTAGCTCTCTTAAAGCTCATTATTTTGAGTTGGCTAGGGGGAAAAAAAGATTTAAAAAAAACACCAGAAGCTCCCTATTATATGACATGTTGCGGACTAAATCTGATGGAAAGCACTGCGAGTGGCCATTTTAATTGTAGTTATTGTCGACTCTAATGTTTCTTTAAATCATTACATTTAATCCAACATCAAGGAGGTAATGACCTACCACTGTAATACATTTAAAAGTAACTGGTAGTTGGGAAGCCCCCCAGGCCTGATTTTACATATAACTAGGGGGACTATGACTAGAACTAGGGGGTCTCAGCCCCTCCCAGCTCCCCCAGTAATTCAAACATTGGAGGAATCGGTCATGGACAGAAAAGCTGAGGAAACAATGCCAGAGCACAATGCAGTTTTGAATCTGAACCGATCCCCATGATTGGAGCACTTTTGAGGACTTCTGTAAGGCTCCGGTCCTGGAGAGCCACAGTCCTGCAGATTTCAGCTCCAACTCTAATCAAACACACCTGAACAAGCTAATCAAGGTCTAAGGGTTACTAGAAAGCTACAGGCAGGTGTAGGTTTTGTCAAGGTTGGAGCAAAACTCTGCAGGACTGTGGCTCTCCAGGACCGACGTTGGCCACCCCTGCTCTATTCACACACAGCGCAACAGGAATGAAACGAGAAAGGCGGACGAGCAAAGCGATGTCATGCAAGTTTTCAAAGGGTCAGTGAGAGAGCCTGTCTCGAGGTCAAATGAAAAGCGGGAGGGCAAAGAGCAGCGTACTGAGCCATACACGCGAACGCATCTTCAGATAGTTTGATCTGATAAGTGAAGGACAATAACAATGGGTTAGTAGGTGTAAAGGGGATTTTTTTTTCAACTGAACATCATAGGCTTTTATTAGATCTGATCTAAACTAGCATCCATACTAAACAAGAAAAGACATTTACCATCCATCCAGAGTATTTTTAAGCGTTTTTCATTTAACAATCATATGACGAGGCTTCTCAAAGCTTGGACTTAACAAAATTCAAGTCACACACACCTCTAAAACGAACACGGACAACAGGCTACCTCCTAAAAGACTGCTTGGAACATCTGATTTAATAAATATGAAGGATAATTGTTTAACACACAAAAATGTATTTATTGGAGTGTATGAGCTCATTTGGTATGCACTCATTGGGGGGAGGTTTGGTTAGAGAAAGCGGCACTTACTTCCCACTGCATGTGAGGTGGGATATTCCTGATCTGCAGTTTGCAGCTCCTGCGAAAAAAACAACAAAAAACAGAGTGGTCGATGTAAAAAATTACACAAGGCAATAAATCACAAGTCAGTCATATTTGGATTTAAATGGTCCAGATTCTTACAAGCCACATTCACTTTTGTGGGGGGGGGGAAACACCATTTAAGTCTGACTGGGAGCACCCAGTAGAGGAAGATTTGAGTAACATCATCTCTATAATGCGCTCTACTAGCTCAAAATGAAAAATGATTGAAACTTGCATTCTGACAATTATACCATTGATTTACATTTATTTATTTTTTATCCCAATTTCTTAAGATAGTTTGTGACTTGAAGACCTTCCACTTCCCTCTTTGGTTTCTTTGAAAGTAAATTACTGAAAATTAATGCTAGATCAAATCAAACAGCCTCTCTAATATTGCAAATGCCAAATAGAAAATGGCTTTGATCTTAGAAACATGCATTACTATGGCTAAAGCTACATAATATCCCCAATAGGCAGTGCAGTTTCAACATATAGACCTTCAAAAACCAGTGTTGTGCAATTACATGCATTAGTTATACATTTATACGTCCAAAAGAAATTACCTGATCATATAGTACAAGTATTTGCAGGTTAGGGAACCAGTTATGGGCAATATTAGCAATCAATCAATAATTCGTCAGACAAGAGGGAAGCAAACTAGTGATTTTGTGAGCCACTAAGCCACCAAAAAAAATTTACTGAGTTCATCAACTAGAGCAAACAACCTGGGATTTGTATTTGGAGACAAGGTACCAAACCAAAACCAGTCCACTAATAGCACCCACGAGTCTGATTGAAATTGGGGTTTATAAAATCAAGATAATTAAAGATGCACCAATCGGCACCAGTCTTACGCCTTGCCTATTCCAAGCCGGTCAGTTTCGACATCACAGCTACGCTCACATCCGCATGTTAATATGTCGGCAATGTGCGTGAAAACGACACAATATTTGAATATGTAATACGCATAAGGCCAAAGTCCCGTTCACACCAAGAACGAAAACTATAAAGATAACTGGTGTGGACGCTAATATCGTTAACAACATCATCTGTTTATTCTCAGCACATGCTCATCTGCTGTTTTAAATTCTCAAGCTGGTTATAGCAGGATTGATTCTGATTGGGTGTCAATGTTTTTATCGTTCATCAGTTGGAAAAAGTCATTCTGAAAGTGATTCCATCGATATTGTTTCTCTGTGCCTTTGTTATAGCTGGGGTGTGGACTCTGCTACTCTGTAATATTGAGAACGAATTTTTGATTTTTTATATCTTTAGTTATCGTCCTTGGTGTGAACGGGCATTAAACCATGGTGGAATTACAGGGCTCAATAGACAATATTGACAACTTTGCAGAAGAAAATAGTTTCAATCAAATCCGTAGCGGAACTCACTCATTAAAACAGTCACTTGCTGTCACCTGGTGGTTTGGTTTAATATTTAAATGTATAATTTAATTTTTCCCAACATTTCTTATCTGTATGTGAATTTTTTTTTTAAACATTAATCTTATAACATTACTTGTGTGTAGGCCTGTCACGATAACTTTTTGTTGTGCGATATATTGCCCCAGAAATAATTGCGATAAGCGATATTATTGTCATTTTAAAGACCATTTTATGCCACTGAATATATAATCATAATGTAACAGCATAATAATGCAAGAAGGCCTACACACTTCCAAATGACAACAAACTTTTAATTTTTAAGAATATTTAGATCATGGAAATTAAGTATCAAAATATTAGATACCTTAAACTTGAATAAATAGTAAATAAACATTTAACAAAAAGTGCAAATTAACAAGTACAAAAAAAAAGAAAAATGCACAAAGAACTTGAAAAATGTAGATTTTTCCATCTACAGATTTTTCCCTGACCTTTTCTCTGTGAATTAAGGGTGCACACTATTGCTGAAAAACACAATCACTACTTAGCAGTCAGATGTCCGTATGCACAAAGGCACAGATCCCTAAACAAGGCCATATCTGCAGATGAAACTTTTTTTGTAGAAGCATTTTTTAAATGTGAACTAGCACCTCATGACTACACCACGTTATGTACGAGAAGCTGCAAAAGACACTGGCTCAAGTGGAATGTTAACATAAATTTTTAAGTAAATATAATGGCCGATATATTGCGTCACCAAAATGTATTGAGGTCATGTACATATATTGCGCGATAAGTCGATATATTGATTATTGCGACAGGCCTACTTGTGTGTATGCATTTGTAATTTTGTGATGTAAATTCATTAAAGGCACCTCTCAGCTTCATTAAACAGTCTGTGTAAATATATCTACTTCAGATGCAGCTTCCGTTTCCTCTGCAGTGAAAAGATGGAGTTTGTTGACACCAATTTCATTTGAATGGTAACGACTCTAACGGTTTCTTATTATTCTAACCGAATTAATTGAAACAATGTAAGAATTTGATACAAGTACAAAAAAAAAGAAAAATGCACTTTTATGGAGATTTTTCCCGGACCTTCTTTTCTCTGTAAATGAAGGGTGTACACTATTGCTGGAAAACACAATCAAATTTCATTTGAATGGTAACGACTCTAACGGTTTCTTATTATTCTAACCGAATTAATTGAAACAATGTAAGAATTTGATGTGAAAGATGACATTTAATAAGGTTAGGAAAATATGCCCATTTATAAACAGTGGGAAACGACATCTGATTTTATACAGCAACAAATTTCTACCTCTTTCCAGTCACAGAGCACTTTATTTTGAGAGTTGTTAGCGAGAAAACATCTGGAACTTGGTCCAAATTGGGGGAAAGTGTAGTGTTTAATAATGTGTTTTATTTAAATAATTTCTAGCATTGAAAAACTGTAGATTCAAAACAAGTAGATTTTTGTTTGTATATGCTGTCAATTACAGTTCTTAGAAAGAAAATCGTTATCGGCAAGTCGCACTTACAAGAAGAAAAAGAATTGGAATCGGCCAAGAAAATTGCAATCGGTGTATCTCTAAAAAATAACTGACACAGAAAAGCTGCATATCATGTTTATGGAACTATACTTGAAAGAGGTAATCAGGTACAGTAGTAACGGGTGAAAGTCCAACTTAAGTGTACATATCAGCATAAACAACATACGCGTACAAAAGTGTACATTTCTAAGCAAATTACAGCCACAGAAAACGAAAATTAACCCATTCAACTAGGTAGAAAAGGCTGAGGCCATTTCAAAGTCTTTTTGACAGCGGTTTCCTTTAAAACTCACTCAAAGTCCACTTCACCTGGGAATCTCAGAAAGTCTTATCAAGCGTCATTAAAAAAGGCCTCAGCTTTTCACAAAAAGCCTAAAAATTCCCAAACAAAGTAAAATCTCCAAACTCTTACCAATGTTTTTTTTCCCTCTTATATATGGTAGCTGTCAAACACCTTGTGGACTCCTATCTCGATTCAAAAATCCCAAAGAGAGCGGCAATACTGGTGATATTAAGCACGCATGTATGTGACCAACCCCAGATGTGCGTTAATTAACCTTCAGTTGTAGATGTAAGTCTAATTTTGCATATCTAGCAGACAGATAAAACCGGAATATACAAGATGTCATTATGTCCGAGATATTTGGCATATTGCCACGTCCCTTGATTTCACAAATGCTGACATGTAGATAATGTGATAAATGTACGGTCAACTTAAAGGGGGTTTTATATGACGGAAAGGCTCAGTTCAGACATTATCATACCACAGGTGATGTCTTTATTACTAGAAATTCATAATTCTACACCGTCTACAAAACTAAATGGTCAGTGACAAAATTAAAATAATTTATGAATCAACTATAATTTGTCAATGAATGCAATGACTGTGTAAGTTCACTTTGAGGAAGATACAATGGGATCACCTGGAACTGTCAGGAACCCAGACACAGCATTTAATGTTTACATCACTACGAGTACAAGTAACAAGCCAACTTCGCTACAATCCCAATGTAAACTGCGCAAATGAATCATTCAATAGAAAAAAAAAAAAAAAAAACAC